AGTTTGGTCACAGTCTGTGTCTCCTGTGAAGCTAAACAGCTGAATTCATCTGTTCATAAGTGCTACATATGTCTGATTGTCTTCAATAGCTTCCCTCAAAGAATAAATGATCAGAAAATGATCAAATACTATACAAATGACAGTCTAGGGAGACCCACACAGTTTCACGATTACCCTGATTACCCATCAGTACTCCTAATCATTACTAAATGCTATACTAAGAAAAAAACCTTGATGATTTCAATTATTCAAAAATTGAAGGGAATAAAAAAAAAACAGAAAATGTTGAAAAATCCTCAGCTCAACTGAAAATACTGCTAACAGGAAGTCACAGCATTGAGTAAATCACCCAAATAAATCATACACTATACAATATTTGGCCTTTGACTTCATTTTACAGAGTAAACAAGCTAGCATGTGAAGAGCTGCAAATTAGATAGCTATATTGTACTACTTTATAAACGTTGCTGCATATTTGCTGCATTTGCTGAAGGCTATTTACAGTTAGTGCACACTGTATATATTGCTTTGGGACATGCTTTTGACAGGCCAATAGATTTGCAACATCTCATGAGAGACATTTAAAGAGAGATTTATCAAAGTACTGTGACAGCACTGTTCATATAAGAGGGAAGCCACTGATGAATGATTCTAATATCTAACTGATAAAAACAGGCTGGTTCTTCATTCATCTTAGACGTCATGCTGAGCCACAGGACATTTGTGCCTTACTTTGTCCGTTTTCAGTCTTTCCTTCACCCCAGTTTCTGCTTCCTCCTCCTCATCCTGTACTCTGCTGGTGCTCTTTTCTGGCCCAGCCATTATGGGTTTGTATGACCACAGCCACTGATCATCCCAACCTCTCATAGGTATGAATGAAGTTCCACCAAGTGTTTTTGCTCTATTTCTTCATGATTGCCAGCTGATCAGTCACAAGTATCCTCCTAAAGACAGGTTTGGATGAGGTCTGCTGTCGTTCTGATGCTGGTCGGGATGCTGTGCCAGATGTGTCGTGTTACTCTCCATCGCATACTTTGTGTGGCTTCCATTCTGAAACTGATCAGACAAATGATTTTTGTATTATTAGAGCAATTTGTAAGGATTTAGTGTGGCTGTGAAAAAATTCATTAGAATCGTCTTAATTATTAAATCCCAAGATTTTTCCAGCACTGATTTTCCAGCCTCACAGCAGAAGACTTGAACTGAATGGGCTGTAAACAATAACATACTGTACAGTGGACTGGTGAACTGGTTCTTTTAATTAACCAAATTCATACAGTGCAACCAGTGTAGTACAAATAATGAACAAATTACTCTTTTCAGCTGGTCCTTATAATGAATCTACACATACATTTATATTTGTATATAAATTGTTAGTTTTACAAAAGTAAAGCTATTTAAATTGTGTTTTAAACTGATATATTGACTGTTATATTTGTTAATAAGCAGCAATTTTATAATTTGGGTCTTACTACCTTACAATTTAAAATGAATTTGGTCATAATGTACCATGTTAGACGGTTTCCTGTGTATTTAACCACGTTAGTTGAGAGAACATTTCTTACATATAAGCAAAACGTTCACTGTAACTTCAATATATCCAAATGGATAAGAATTGAATCAAGACCTTGTGAATTGGAATATGGAAATGTGTACCGATAACCAGCCCTAATCATTTTGATGACTGTCCATATACAACAAGGTTTTATTACAAATATTGATTTTATCACACATCAAATATCTAAACATCAAAAGTACTATAAGATCCAACTAGTAACAACGCTCTTCCAAAAGAGGATTTCTGCAGTGAGGCCATAGGAGAATCATTTTGGGTATCTCAAAGACTCATTCAGTGATCAGTCCTTAAAAGAATCATTTTTCCTTTGTGTCAAGAACATTTTCTAAAAAAACGAAAGAACCTTTTCTACTATAAAGAAACTTTTGTGCAACGGAAAGCTTCCATTGATGTTAAAGGTTCTTCATGGAACCACAGGTGACAATGAAGAACCTTTCTGTTTAAGAGTGAAGGTAGGTGAGCCTCACATTTGGTTGGTTCTTACCTGGCCTATGTAATCTTGTTGATCCAGACTTGATCCGACACCCACTCCTGTTTTGTCCCCAGTGCCCGTTCCTCTCCACATCACCATCCAGGCCACTGAGCAGCACTTCAAGGTCTTGAGCAGTGAACTCGCTCATACCTGTGTCACCTGCAGTGATATAAGGTGAAGAGTGCTGCTGGGAGCAGCTGAAGGACGCAGTGCTCAGATGGTTCCTATTAGGGTGCTTCAGATCCTGAAGGGGCGACTCCAGGTAAAAGCATCCAGGCTGTTGGAGCTCTGGCTGGAAGAGAGGAGGAACCTGCTGAGCGTCGCTGACCAGAACTTCACTGAGGTTCCCACAAACCTGAGCATTTTTGAGCGTTTTACACTCCAGCAGATGGAGAGGTGGAAGGTATGAGCACTGAGACTGTTGGCTTATCATCTGAACTTGGTGTTTTTGGGTTGTTATGTGTGAAGGTTCGCATTGTGTGATTCCCGTTTCGTTATATGGTTGAGACATTACGTTTTGGAGACCTGGTATGGCCTGCGGTTCACTCTGAGGTTGTATTGGTGTGAAATGTTGTGTCTTTGGTTCTGGATGTTCTGTTGTAAAAGTCATCTGTTGTTCCTGAGGTACTAATGTGAGAGGATCACATGAATCCTGTAAGATTAATGCAGATGCTCGTTGTGGAGGTGTGAAGGTCTGCATAGGCTTCCCGACGAGATCCTTCAGACTGTCACCAGACATTATACAGTCTGCCTCCGTCCTGAGAGAGTGTTGTACATAGGAGAAGATGCCATCTGTGAGGTCTGCCACATCATTCTGACCACCGAGGTCAATCCTGAGGAACAGTTCATCCTGAAGGAACTTCAGATCTTCTGGTCTGATCCCTAAGCTCCCCATGAAGTTCAGTATCTCACAGCTGTCGTCTCCTCCAGAGTTAACGACTGGCTCTTGTTTGAAAAGAGAGCTTTCAGAGAGTGAAAGAGCACTTTCTTGCCAGTTACTGGAGAAGATCCCACCAAGATCCTCGTTCTCTAAACCCTGTACTGATACAGAGTGCTCATCTGCTGGACACACATAAATCGACTCATCCTGCTTCAGCATGGAGCCCAGCAGGGAGTCAGGGTCTACAGTTCCAGTGGATCTGGCTTGGGTACTGTCATCCAGAGCAGTGGTATCAGAAGGTATGGTGTTACTCTGAGATCTGAGCAGGTTCATGTCATAGAGAACAGCTTCACCTGTAGTGAAGCTGAAAGGAAGCATCATAGCACGCTTTCTCAGGTTCTCCTCACCCTCCTCGTTCCTACAGAAGACAAAACGACTCATTATAAAGCATGACACCTAAGGAAAATATATATTTTTTGCCTTTGCTGACTATAGATAAAAAAAGACAAGAAAAAAATGACCTACCACAATTCATCATACAAACAGACATAAGTATACAGACCAATCACAATTAATATACAA